TGGATGGGGCTTTGGGCAACCTGGGCTAGTGGAGGGTGTCCCTGCCCATGGTGGGGGGGTTGGAACTAGATAGGCTTTAAGGTCCTTTCCAACCCAAACCATTCTATGATAATAAAAAACTTTAAGAACTTTTAGTCAAATCTTCAGGTCGCTTTTGTATTTGCTACACAGTTACTACCATTCATGATAAAGTCAGTCTGACAAGTGTTTTATCCATCCATGTTATTAAAAAAGGTTAATCTACAGCAGTTTCTCTTCTAAAAATAAACTATTTCTTTTATTTGCTGAGACAGTTTTCTTTTACTTTCCTTTTCTTAAAATACAGTAGTTGCCAAAATGAACAGCATAGAAAAAGGCAAGAGAAGCAGTAACCACAGCAAAAGACCCGAGAGAATTTGCTACGCAAAAAACCAGAGCGTTTTGATAGTCTGTTTGGTTTCCTTCAGTTCAAAGCTAGAACACATAAAACTGTTGGCTAAGAATTTTACTGCAATAATTTTCAATAAATTGGACGTGGATACAAGTTCCAGACTATGAACATTTTTCACATGTATGTGCATACAGTTACATAGAGTTGAACCTGGTTCTATTTACAGAAGCATTTTTATCAACTGCACCTGTCTTGAGCAGAGTTTATTTTAAGTACAGCGTTTGTAATAACCTGCTCAAACAAAATATGCTCAATACACTGAAAAGCTCTACGGTAGAAAATTATGGAAGACAAGCACAATGCTGTTGTGAAAAAAAAGATGGTATGTCCAAGAGATCATGAACACAATTTTCCTGAATTTTTAGTGAAAAAGGATTTCAGAAACTGGCATTTACATCTGTAAATTAAATAGAAAACAGTATTTATCTCATTCTGCAGAAAAGCAGCAGTGTTATACTTAATTTAGGATAGCACACCATGCATACAACACACTGGAGAATCCTTTCTTGATACTAGTGATAAATACTTTGCTTTAAAATAGTTCATATAAAATAGCTATAGAGTATAATCCTAGTTTATCAGCAATAGAAAAAGGAATCAATCTGGAGACAATTTCACAAAAAATACTAATCTCTTAGACTCAAACCAACCTTATCCCTGAGGCTGTCCACTGTGAACCATTCCAAGAGTTTATTTCCAACTTCCAGGGGACTTGTTAGAAACGTTCTGTACGTTAAAAGGAAATCTTCAATGTAGGTTGGATCCACAATAGAATGTTCTTCTATTAAGTGCATGATGAGTCGCTCAGGTGTTGCCTTAAAAATTAAATGCAAAAAATAACCGATATCTCTTGTCACTACCTCTGCCTAGAGAGTATCTTAACATAAAACCATGTGTGCGGTATACTCCCTTTCAAATTTCAGTTATGGCAAACTCAGGAGAAAGCACACTAACGTGTTTAAATCAAATCTTCATGCTTCTCAGCCTGATGTTTTGAATAGGTAATATCTGGCTAAAACAATTAGTAACTTCCCTTAATTTTATTTTTAATAGACACTTTAAGTTTCTCTTCCAGATTACAAAAACCAGGTCAATACATAAAGATGCAGAAAGGGTGCTCCCAATACAAAACTCAATATATGTGCCGAACATGTCTAACTTTATTAAAAGGGAGATGGAAATAGATTTGTAAAATAATATAAATTCCTTCCAATCAACTATTTTGCACTGAGACAGACAAAACTGAATATGTGTTCCAGATTCAAACCAAAACTGTATTTGTTTACTAATGAGGGTTTAATAGATTAATGGAAAGCACAGAAAGAAATTCACCTTGATAACTATGTGTCCTTTTCTGGTTCCACTGCGATCCAGCTCCCTGTGCTCCTTTACCATAACAATTTCTCCTTCTTCCTCCACTTTATGAGTGTTTTTTTCCACGTGGTTCAGAATCCTCCAGTAGTCTTGCTGGGCTATACACACAAACTGCCCCCAAACAACACAGGATTGTTAGCAAACATCCAAAACATGAATGCATCGCTATCTCTGAGCTGCTTTGACACAATCACAATAGCACAGCATTTGATACCAACCCCACTCTGTTCTGCCCAACTACACAAGAAAGTTAGAAATAGAAGACAAATAGAGCTGGTCGCCTTCTTCCATCTCCAAAGGTTGTTCAAATGGGCTAGACATACAGAGGACAAAGCCTGTAAGAAGTGGAAATGGGTGTTTCCTATTTATCTGTTCTTACTCTATGTCAATCAGAGACACAGCATGACTGGGGTAGACTAAGCTTACATTTCAGCACAAAGGAAAAGTTCCTGTTTCTCACACAACAGCAGTGTGAAATAAATCTCAGCTACTGAAGAGTGTACAATTAACTCAACATCAGCAGAGCCCTTGACCCATAAAATACCAACCTCCTTTTTTCTGCGCCAGGAATAAAGATCATGTCTTAAGATTAAAGCAGTCTGTTTTCTTTTAATAGATGCTTAAAAATACAAGGTAGTCTTATAGAATTGTAATCTTACCTGACAATCATCTACTTTGGTTCTGACCACTCCATTCATGTACTGTTTGTCCAGAGAGGGAGTAATCCCAAAACTATTTCCCATACAGAGACTCTCACTCTTCCCATCAGGATAGCTGATTTCCACTGTGCCATTTAAAATAACATACCAAGAATCGAGCTAGAGGAAGTAAAAAACAAATTTAAAAAGTGAAGTTAATTCAACAACTTTTATAAGCTGGTCCACTGCTCTTATCTCAGAAAGGCTTATTCTTGCAGTCTCCAGTTTGTTGTCACCACAGTTTTGCAACATTTAATTCACTAAAAATGTGCACTGGAAAGCAAGCAATAAAGATGACTGAGACGAGAATGCTTTTCAGCATTCTTCATTCATTTCAGAACTAATTCAGCAGGGAGGCATGCTGATGAATAGATTGCTTTTTTAATCAGTGGGCTAATCGCTACAATACATTTATACCGTTTAGTGAGAATGAACACTCTTCCCCTGCGTTCCCACTTGGTCGCTACCACAGACGAGAGGGACGACCCGCTATGGCCATTCCAGATGGAATTATTCAAGGACAGAGAAATATTTCAAGATAGTGATTCCAAGCACCTATGCTGGGAGCCTGACCACTGACTAATTTGGATATCTGTCTCCTCCCACTGAATATGTATGGAAACTGCTCCTAATTTAGACATTCATGTTATAATACCTACACTGGTGGGCAAGGACACCTCTCCATGTCAGTATTTTAAAAAAACTACATCATCAGAAGAGAGTTATTTAGCAATGGAAACGATGCATTCTTCTATGCCACAAATAATCTTTGAAATAAACTCCTCCAGATGTTGGCACTTACCTGATAACGACATACTGAATGCTGGTTTATGTCTATACTTGGCCACTCACGTCTTGAACAAGATAGTAATACACAGGCAGAATCTCCCAAAGGGATGGGCTAAGGTTTGGGGATTTTGAACATGGGTCACAGTGAGAGAAGAATTCTCTGACTTTCAGGTGCGGGGGAGTTGCGGATATGGGTAACACATTTTCCAGCCCTTCGCCCCCAGAGGCCCTTGCTAATCTACTGCCTATAGCGCTCAAATTGTCTTATAAGCAGTAACTTACTTCTTGGCCGTCTTCAAGTATGATGGCTCCTGCTTGCTCTACTACTTCAAATATCATCACTGAGCAAAGTTCTCTTCTCACAGACATAGTCATGTTTGCAAAGGCAGGGAGTTGATGCATAAATTCCAACAATTGCTCTGTTAGACAGAGGAAACATTGGGATGAAGACTGCAAGGACCAGGGGTTCCTTAGATACCTTCCCCTCCACAGGTACATTAAATCTCAGTTCAATTCATGGCAAAATTGCTCAGTGGTGTTGCAATCCCCATTAGTGCCTGTGGCTAAACGAGCCCAGTATGCATTTTGTCATCAACAACCACAACTCGGCTCTACAGTCCTCATCGTGTTCTGATTGACTCTTACGGCAGCAGTTGGCTGGAGTAAGAAAGCACTTCAGCTTCAAACATTTACAGAAATTAAAAATATCTTACAGTACAGTAATTATAAGCTTGATAGGAGCATGAAATGATTTTCCAGTGTTCAGAGAAGTAATCTGAAGTACAGCATAATGCAAATTTCGCTATTAAACTAATGCCAATTTCTAGTTAAACACTGCAGTAAATTATTTTCTTCTTAAATGTTTTCCAGTTTACAATTACATAACTCTATATCGCAGTAATAGTATATTCTCTTTGACATTTAATAACTAATTGAACAGTTTCAAGCAGTCAAAATTACCTTGCTACCTATCCCTCCCTCATATCACCACACACCACAACTGTAATACTTAACAGCTTAAGTATCTCAAAGACTGTTTTTAAAACACTTAGTTTCTCAGAACAAATATTCTCTCAGATAGTAAGAAGAGAAGTCATTCAATTAACAGTATCACTGGAGCAAAGTGATCTCTGGAAGGCATCATTCATAATTATGAGGATATACATTTAACATTAACTCATTAAACAGTTTTCAGATAGGCTGCTCTTACAGATGTTATATGGTATAGATTTACATAAAGATTTTTTTTAGTATTTTTTTTTTCTCCTCACCAATATCATCATCAGTTTTATCTGCAGGCTCTTTCTCAAGGCACTCTCGTACAACATCTCGCCCAAGAAGCGGATCTGAAGTTCTGTCAATATCTTCATCCTCCTCCTCCTCTTCATCTTCAGAGTCTACAGGTGCTTCTGGAAGACCTGTTAAATCAACGTCTCCCATCTCACTTTCTGTAGCCTACAAAGAAAACATCCATCAGACAAAGAGTTCAATGTCTTCACTTTAATGATTTGTGGTCTTATCTTAGGCAGCTAATACAACAAAAGAAATTCTGTGACCAGCAATTCAAACTAGAAATTGTAATGCTCCCTTTCTGGGGGGGGCGGGGGAAAGGCAAACCACATTACGTCGACATCTGCAGTTACAGGATGGCACAAATGATACCACTGGCAAAAAGCAACACCATGCCACAGGCATTATGATCACAAGTTCGGAAAACAAGATTAACGTACCGGGACTTTTGTTCTCTCTTTACTTCTATCCCTCCCCACCCCCAATGAACTACAGGCAATATAAACCCATCAACATTAACCGTGCGACACAGGAAAAACCAAAGCAGATCGAGTGGCTAAAATGAAACGGATTTGATCTCATTTTTAATTTTGGTATTATAACATGATTTTAATCCTGGCACAGAGCATACAAATTGGGGGCTGATTCTCATTTTATAGCAGTTACTCCTTCATGCTAATTGATGTAAACAAAATGGTTTTTCACAATTTGAGAGCCTGTATTATTACTGAAATAATAATATAATTCAGTAACATCACTGGTTACCCGATGCCCGTAGACACATTTCTCCTGCCATCAATAGATGGCAATATAGACATCACACTGAGCAGACACATGAAACAACAGTGAAAGAGAATGCAACACTGGCAACAAATAGCAGAATCATATAGGAATCATTTGCAATAATTCCTTATGTAAAGTTTAAATGATGTAATTGCATGAAAATAACTTTCCAAACAGATGGAAGGCAAAAAAAAAAAAAAATAGTAGTTTCAAATTTTCAGTTTCCACAGAGTAGTTGCTCAATCACTTTTTTTTTTAGTTTAACCCAGCATGCAAATCATTTTACTGTTCAAACTCAAAAAATTGAACAAGATGTGTCACTGAGAGGTATAGAGCAATTATATACAATTATATAGAGATTTGCAGAAGATGGCATTTATTTTTTTTAAATGGACACATTTACAATATTCACTTTCCCTTTAAAAGAAATCCCAGAGATTTTACAAAAACACTGAATAAACTAACACATCAAATACTCCGTATGTACCGAGCAAAGCCTCCAAAATACAGGATGGGGTCCTGTCCAAACCAGCTTTGAACACTTCCAGTGATGGGGCAGTCACAGCTTCTCCAGGAAACCTGGTCCAGTGTCTCACCAGCCTTATCATAAAAAATTTCTTCCTTAAATCCAAGCTAAATCTTCCCTCTTTCAGTTTAAAACCATTGCCCCTTGTCCTGTCCCTCCAGGCCCTGGTAAAATGTCTTTCTTATAAGCCCCCTTTAAGTACTGAAAGGCTGCAGGAAGGTCTCCCCGGAGCCTTGCTCCCTTTTCTCCAGTCACTGGGGACTTCACCTGACCACCACAACTTTGGGTCCCATGGACCTGTGTATGCTCAGGTTCCTCAGGTGGCCTCAAACTTGGTCTTCTCTCACCATGGGAAGGACTTTGTTCCCCCGGTCCCTGCTTTGAGGTGCAGAGACTTGAGAGATGGGGGAAAACTGAGGCAAAAAAATTGTTGAGTGCCTCAGCCTTCTCCATGTCACTTATTTATGGGGGAGTAAGGGGAGTACATTTTCTTTAATCCTCTCTTTCTGACCAATGTACCTGTAGAAGCCCTTCTTGTTATTTTTCACATCCCTTGCCAAATCCAGCTCCAACTGTGCCTTATCCTTCCTGTTCCCAACCCTACACGTCCAGCAGTGTCCCTATATTCCTCCCAGGCTACACGTCCCTGGTTCCATGGAATGCATTTCCCTCTTGCGCTGTAGTCTGACCAGGAGGTCCTTACCCAGCCATGCTGGTCTCCTACCTTCCTTGCCTCATAACACCACTCATTGTAAATGATTTAATCACAGCAGACTGCACTGCCTCCATCTTCCTACACGCTCCATGTTGATGGGGCTAACACGAGCCCCAGCGCTCTGACAGCTGAGCCATGTTTCCTTCTTTCACTAGACAGAAAAATACTGGGGTTTAGATATAACCTTGGACCCTTGAGCTTGTCCTCATTTAAATAATTAGCCAGCAAACCTAATAAATAAGGCTTAACTGATTTAACATAAATATTTCTTTCAGAGTAGGATAACAATACATATAGGGTTAAATCTGTTTTATATTACATCACTTTACTGGCTTATGTAGCTCACATTAACAGCTTTGGAATTAAGCCCAAGTGCAAATTGTGCTTGGAGAGTCTCAGCAGCACATGATCAGTACAGCATTTTATTCAAGGACTTTTCTAGCATTTCTTTATCCAAATAGCCACAGTTTATATCAACTTTTCCAGGCAGAGTAAGACAGATTACAGTATTAATTCCCACTCCGATAACCTCAAGCTAAGATAATAAAACTGGGGCTATAGATTCTACAGAAAAGCGATTCTTTAACATTTTCACTGTATGTCCTATATAGGACAATAAACAAATCTTTTCTTGATAACTAAGTTATAATTCGATCAAGCTATGAAATAAGAGATGGTCCTCAAACTGCATTTCAAAGATTCTGTGCAGATGGTTGACAAAGCATTGGCAGGGCAGGCAGTGCTGGGAGGAGCAGGAAGGGGTTTGCTCATAAAGCTGTCTGCAGAAGTAGCTGCTGTTCCCAAGCATGATGCTCCAGCTGTTTCCATTATCAAATATCAAAATCATTCTTAACGGAAACATTTATCAACTACTCATTTACCAAACGAAACCAGAAGCTGCAATCCTCAAATCTTACACAAATACAGATTTTCAGGATTGGGTCTATAGGGCAAGAACATCTATTGAGAGGGCAGCAGGAACACACTCAAATGGTGTCTGTCACGCAGATCACCTGGAAAGTTAACACCAGTTTACTGTCAAAGCATTTGTTTGCTATTTTTAAATCATACTATTATTACTATATAGCACTGCAAATTTTGCCAATCACCGTGTTTCAGCTATGTTTGCCAAATGTTGATCACGGAAATGTCCTGGACACTGCCCTACGCCTTGGAAGTCAAAGATGCAAGAACGGGCCCTCGTAAAGTTTTGGTGATAACGATGTGTATTCCACTGTAATATGTGTCAGAAACATTCACTGACAGGAAAAAAAGTATTGAATATGCCTCACGTAAAAGATTTCCTGTGCCATACCAACTCCATATGATAATGTATTGTAGTGCTCCTGACTCCTGATACCACCTGCTATTTAAGAGCAGGATTTTTTCCCCTTCCCTCGTGTCAATTCTGTCAGGGGAAAAACATCCAAGCCTTTTTTCAGAATTGATAGAAAAACCCTCAGTGAGGCCCACTCCCTGATGCATATTTTATAGATAATCCATTTTAATATCAAAACCTTAACCACAATTGAAATTATTTCTGCCAATAATGTTGGTACCCACAAATAGTATACACTGCCAAAGTGATAAATGAAAGATTAAAAAAAAAAAAAGAGGAACTTGAAGCACTTCACTGACAGAACTAAATAGATAAGAAAAAATAGACGCAAAATGGTTAGTCATTAAGAGAACAGGCAACTAATTCATTATATTAGAAGTGAGACACTACCCACCCACATCTAGAGGTATGATCTGGGCTACCTACGTTATCCTGGCTGGCTGCCTTAAAGTCTGTCCCATGAAAGGGCAAAGAAAGATGTCTTCACTCTGAAACACCTGTTGAATTCTTTTTCCCCCAAGCACACCTATTACAGCTCAAAGGAGCTGTATAACCCCTCATTTCAACTTCTGTATGCATAACCACACACTTCCCCTACTTCTGTCTAAACACCATCGTTCTGAAATGAAGAAATGGGTTGAAAGAAAAAAATAAAAATATTTAAAAATCCACTTGAAGTAAATTAAAGAAGTTGTTTTAAAAACTGTAGGGAATAACTTCCTTTTTTTTCTATATTAAAAAAAAAAGTCTACAGTCTGACAGAAAAACAACTGCTCTGCAGTATTCCAAACAAATTGGACTTTGTAATACATAAATTTGGACGTTTTACCACAAAAATACAGAAAGCTCCAACAGGGAGCAGTAAAAGTACATGAGAAGGGAGAAAAATATCTTCATAAATTTATTTTCATAAGGTTCTGCAACTCACTGAGGGTTTAATACAATGTGTTCATGGCAGTGCTTACAGGCAGGACTCCTTTTCTGCTGATCTCACCTGAAGCTTTATGTTCATCATTTCCTGTTTAACATCCTGGACTGAGAGGCAGCTGGAACAAGTGAAACCTCATTTCAACACTATCAGTGAATATAGTGCACACAGATGAACGGAAACCCTTTCCAAATCTTAATAAAAAATTGTTTCATTCTTTGGTTCTACTATTCTAACCATATTTTCTATCCTGGAATTACATTTGCACTACTTACTGTAAAAATTAATGTTAAGATACCATTAATTCAAAAGGTCATTTCAAGGCTACATTAATCAAAATTATTCAAAAATGCTCTTCCTCTGCTGACACTAATGATACTCCTGGAGAGTTTGGTACAGAATAGATCTGAAGCTGACTGCAAAAGCAAAAGCAAAGCATCATTTTCCAAATATTTAATGAAAAGCTGTATTTAACGTACCAAAAATGCTTTCAGCTACTGAGACAATACCTTACACTGAAAATGTAGGTTTATTGCTGTTCAAAGTGATTCTCTGCCTTCATGATATCATGATGAATATTGGGGGAAACACTTTTCTTTTTCTTTCCGATTTCAAAATCCGTCTGTATTGATGCATCACTGCAATATAATGCCACGTTCAATACTGTGCCAGGACATTATTACACAGTATCCGTCCATGCACTTATAACTGGGTGACAAACAATAAGAGACTGTTGGCAGCTACTGGAATAAAGCCCATAAAGCACCCAGCATCTTTTGACAGGTTACTAGTCGCACATGATGCATACAAGGACAAGATATAAAAATTCACTAAAAAATTAAGAAGGAAAATAAACACCAACGTGTTGGTTTGTTTTGGGGTTTTTTCCCCCTCATCATATTCTTGTTGAGCATCTTCTCTTCACCCACAGTTTATCAAATGCTTGATTCTCCAATGCTATCTTTCAGGATTAATGACACCGTAGCTATGATCCTACATTGCTGTAATATTATCTTTGAGGATCTCGGATGAGTCTAACAGTGGTAACCTGCCTCAGACACAGCCTCAGTTAGAAATTCTCAGCAAAATTTACAGATGGCCATGTTCCCTGCAGGATGCAAAACCCAATGGGCTAAGATCACTGAAAAGGAGATTCCTACCTGAAAGGTCCCCACTCCTCTGCTGTCATTTTCATATTAATAAATTAATAATTCCTTAGGGTAGAAAAAATAAGTTTCACTACTCTATTTGCTACAATACATATAAATACACTACTCTGTTATTTCTTTTATTTATATAGTTCTCATTTGTTTAACAATTACGCTCTTTTGGCATTTTCTGAAGAGTAGACGTAAGGCATTTCAAATGCAACTAACCACACGTGATAGAGTATTCACTCATTACTGGAATGGTATTTTCTTTATCAATAATATATTTTAAGTGCTTTTCACTTAGAGCAACCTCTCCAAACTACTCAGGTAGACAGGCAGGCAGACGATGGTCAGGAAAACTGTCCATCAGCATCCTAATATATGAGATGTTAAGGTACAATACACAGGCAAGTTCTGGTGACTCTAATTAAATCAATTCTGTTGACTCAGAAGATTAAAATAAATAAATAAACCAAGACACAGAACAAAATCTTCCAGCATTGCCTCTCAGAAGTCAGAGAATTCACAGAGCATTCTGAAAAGACTCTACTGACCCAGCTGGCAGCAAGCAAATCTAAAGAATTAAGGTAATAGATTAAACAGGACAAAAATGCAGAGAGACAATGGTCTAAAAGGATTTTTCCTTTAAATGCTTTATTTTTAATGGTACCTACCGATACTTTACTGTAAATAAGATGCATCACTAATCACTGTTTATTGTATAGAAATAGTACCCAGAGAGTACACAAAGGAGTAAGTGTCTAAAATCAAGACACACCTACATCATGCCCAATAGGTGCTATATATTCAGTATTGTAGTCAGATTTCAACTTAAGCTGTGGAATTGCTCATCAAGACAAACCCAAGATGAGCATCCTCATCAACCAGAATGAAAAAAACCCATGAAACTAGCTCTGCAATTTGAAACGAGACGGGGAACTCATTAAGGATATTATCTGTAAACAAATGAAAGCTATCCCTGGATTTCAGTCAACTTCTATTCTCAGCAAGCAACACCAACAGTCAATTGGTGCAGAGGGTGCGTTTATTACCACACTTTTGTTTGCAGAACAGAACATCTGTTATTAACAGGAAATACAAATAATCAAGGAAGGTATTTGAAACACAAGAATGATTTCATGAAATTTGATCTGGTTCAGAAAGAAGGAAAATGATGCCATAAATCATCAAATGTGACTTTTAAAAGCAACGAGTTTGTTTCACTTCTACGTGGCCGTGGAGGTGGCAATGCAGGGATATGCAGAAGCATCAAGAAGGCAAGTCTTGGATAAACAGCCACTGGTTTTGTTTATGGAAAGTTTAACATGAAGGAAGGAAAAATTAGAAACAAATGCAATTTTACCTGATAAATATCAGACAGGCTGCTGCTCCCAGAATCACTGGCAATGCTACATCCTGACTGGCTTGAAGGGACGTGAGTCACCTGAGGATGAGGATTGTCGGTGAGATGCATCTTGGTAAGGTCAGCTGGAAGCTGTAAATAAAATGGATTTGGGGAAAGGTAGGAAAAAGGAAAAAAGATGTATGAGTGATTTGAAGACAAAGTTATTCATAAAACTTTTGTTACACATTTGAATAATCCACCTGTAACTTGACATACATTTCGATAACAAGCTAATTTTGACTTAGCTTGCCAAATCACCCTTCAGGTTTTATATGACTGATAAAAAACGATGCACCTTTCCATAAAGCAAAGCTCCAGCCCCTTTACAGCTAACTGACAGACACCAACCGGATTAAGAGTGCGTAAGGACAAATAGATGCTGCTGGCCAAACAGGCCACAGGCTTAAACATCAGCTTATGTTGCAATCCAGTACGAAGCAGGATTCCTATTTATAAATTCAATTCATGCCTTAGTTCAAGAATAACCTTTAGAAAACATCAATATAGGACAAAAAGTAATGTAATCTAAACAAAAGTCTCGGTCCATAAAATGCTTTGAATTTCTTTAAGAAAATGAGTTCACAGATTTTGGTACATGTCTGTACAATAGCACTTCTATTTTATACATCTGTCTGTAAATGAACACGTGTATAAAGACATAAATTTTAGTGCATGATTGAAGCCCACAAACGTATTCTTTCTACTGAAAAAAGTCAGCCAGCAGTAGACTTTTGAAGAGTCAGAGCCACATGGAATACTAGAAAATAATCAGTCCTTTAATTCAGCTGCTCATTTATTTTCTGCCACATGTATTTCTAGTGTTTTTTTTAAATTTACACTCAACTATACGGAAAGAATATTGTATCAGAGAACCACAGAATCATAGATTTGATGATAAAATGTATATACTTTTATCATTTATCAATGATAAAATTATATACTATTCCTTTAAAAAAAGGCTCTGATGCAGAAAAGAAGTCCAAAACCACTCTGACAGCATCAAGTATCATAATCAAAATGAAAAGGTTTCTTCTGTAAAACAAAATCCCAGAATCACGTCAGCTACTAGATATTCAGCCCTACAAATTAAAAGACAGTATATTGTACAAATGTTGTTGATCCAATATCAACTTTATAAATACTGACTAAACTTATGAGAGTTGGAAATCAGAACTTTATTTGGAATCACATTTTTTCTGTCCATTTTTTGAAGAGCACACAAGAGAAGCACTTTACCAAACACTAGTTCATGTATTTTCTGAAACTCTGAAGTCTCTCCAAGCCTTCCTCACCCCCAGGAAAAAAAAAAAAGAAAAAGTTGAGAGCCCCTCTGACACATGTAACAATTTTGACCATCAAAATTGTTATGAGGAACATGTTACTTGTAAAGTAACCCTGGGAACTGAAAGACTACAAAACTATTTTTCACTATCCTAATATTTACATTATTCTAGTTTTGTATATATTTTACTTACAAAAAGAAAGTATAAAATATCCAATCCGTAACTTAGTATCTATGTTCACGTGTATTTGGAAAAGGAGAAAGTTTGAAAAGCAAGAGATTGCTAACTTTCACAAACTCCCATAAAAAAACCAACATCAAGCAGTAGGTATAAAATAGTGAACTTGATCCAAACACAAAGGAAACACAACACTTTGAAGCCTATGTTTAGCCACCAAAAAGTTTTACAGGCTGAAAAAAAAAAAAAAAAAAAATCTATTTTCAGGATTTGAAAACAGCAAAAAGGTCAAACCGCTCAGCTGACAAAATTCAACGCAGTGACCAAAAGGCACGCTCGCTCGCTGTCAGCACGCACGGGAAGAGCTGACGTACACCGAGACGTGACCTCTTAAACACCGATAAAGAGATGTATGAAAGCAAAGCAGGAAAGTTGAGATTTAATTCTGGTCTGCAGCACTAGCTGGGTACTTTTTAAATCCAAACAAATACTTCCTACAGTAGATGTTTTTATGCCACATACAGCAAAGCACTATCCCGACTCAGCAGCGTGAGGTTTACGGTTGGACTCGAAGATCTTAAAGATCTTTTCCAACCTAAACGATTCCATGATCTACTGCTGCTCGCGCACACGAGGCCGAAAGCGTTACGTTATCCTCCTTAAAGCCTGCGGCGGTTTGGACGTTAGTTAAGCCGCTGATATTTCAACGATGCCGACCGCGGTGCTGATGGAGGTCATTCCCTGGCTTTCCCCATCTGCTGCCTCCGTTACAGCGTTCAGCAGCCGGGGCGGCCGGAGCAGCCTGTGCCGCAGGGTGACACTGCTCCTCTGCTCCCCGGAGTTTCACGCGTCAGCCAGCTCCTCTGCAAACACACCGCAGTGCTATCGTCCACGCGAAAAGGCACGTACGAGCAAGGTCAGCACGTCATTTGCCAGGGAGGACGACATCCAGCAGCAACCCAGCACTTGCTAGCAATTACTAGGCAGGGCTGCTGGCAGTCACTGATACACCAGAGGTCAGCATAACTGACAAATCCAGGAATTTAGTAAATTACAGAACTAATCAACCCATATAGACTCATTACCCCTAGCTTAACAAGGCCACAGTTTTGCTGCAAACTCCTCAGCCTCTCCCCATCTTTGTAATCTCCCTATTCCAACAACTGGCTCCGAGTTCCATTTCAATCAGATTTCTTTCTGTCCACAAGCAACTCCCACACTGACTGTGGTAATACAGACACAAGGAAATTTAATTTAAGCTCCCTGCTATCCAGCTTCATAATGATTTTCAAACTTTCAGAACAGCTCCAGGAAAAGAATGAGCAGAACCAAGAGCAGGACCGATTCTGTGGAATTTCCCCAGGGAACAAGGGCAGATACCTGCTTCTCTATCAAAAACTGGTGCTATTGAAGCCCATTCTGGCTCAAAGACAGTGACACACACACATACACACACTGCCACATACAGTTTTTCTTCCCTAATTCAGTTTAAATTTTGAGATTCTCATGACGAAGGCTGTTCTACATACCTAGGTTGAGAAGTTATGCTGGAACAAGACATGGCTCTCAAAAGAAAAAAAGTTGTGTATGTACTTTGTATGCCTTTTTCACAAATATACATCGAAAAGCAGCTCAGAGCACCACCAGCCCTCCCAAAGGAGTTTTTCTTATCAACTCATTAATCACTTACAGCTGATCTTCATTCCCCCTGCCAGCGCTCCCATTCATTTCCATCACCTATAAAGCACATGGGCACGTACGATGCTCCTGCTGGACTCTGCAATACGCTCTTGTAAAAGACATTTAATGTAGGTTAGAGGCAAGGAACCACTGCAATATCTCTTTAAATTTGAGAGAGAGAGGAGGTTTATTTGAGACAAGTGACCTTTAAAGTGCTGCTTGCCACTCTACTCAATCTCCCAAAATAAATCACAGCTTCTGTCTTTTCTATGTCATTTTTATTACCCAAACTGATTGTTCTTTCTTTCAGAGCTCGCTAAACAGCGGTACATGGATAGGGTGTTTCTGTAACAATGTGACAGCGGACGCGGGAAGGACTTGCTGGATGCGGTAGCAAAGTTGCTGCAAGTGATGTAAAATTGCCTGAACTATTGGTGAAAAACATTCATTTATTATTTGACTGATTTTTTGGGGGAGGGAGAGAAACTTAGAAACTGTTGTTACAATCACATCTGTATCTTGAAAAATTACGTGTTGGGAAACAAGTTCAATATAGCAACGTTCACCTACGTCCAGGTTAGAGGCTTTCAGACGCAGACATATACATCTGCATTATCTGCTGGCTAGCTGCGTGCCCCAGCACCCACAGATAGGAAAACTCTGAACATCCATGAAATTCTGATAAACACTCAGCACAGAAATAGGCTATTTACTTGTCACTTTAAACCATAAACAATTTCATTTTTCCACAAGAAGGGATAATCCAGAATTCGAATACGAGTGCGTCCGACACGCTGGCACAGCCAGTCCCAGCATCGATGCCAGCACATCCTTGTGACTGACCTTTCCCGACAAAGGGATAGTTAGCACCAACCCCCCCACTGAAATGCCATACTGCGCTTCAGAGCTGTACGTGAAAGGAAGTTAAGAAAATAGAAGTTATGGTCTGTACAGCCACCTACAGCTCTGCCCTCCCACTGAGTCAGGAAAATACAGTTGGTTATTACACCGAAAAAAACCCTGAATCAACAAGGGAATTTTTTAAGAGATATTGCAAATTGCAATAGGAAAAAATGGAAAGAAAAAACACTAAAGCCTTTAGAAGCTCTTCCTAATGGTAGCGTCAGTCCACCTTGCCACACAAACCCAGAAGCAACAGCAGCCTGGACTGCATTTTGTTAAACGTATGTGAGACTCCTGAAGGCGGTACGCGGGGGCACCCCATCCCACAGCCAAGGCCGGCTCACGAAGCTGCAACGCCGGGGAGAGGGCAGGAGACATGAGAGTGTCAAAGCTGGTTCTGAGTAACAGTTAGTGAACAAAAGTGACATGCACAAAATACTAAACTCCACCCACAGCAACCCTGAAAACACCCACGAGGTGAAGACTCCACGAGGCCCCCAGGAACTTGGCTTTTGCCATCGATTGCACGGTGCAGCCATCCAGCTCTGAAGCACGAGGCGGCAGCAGCGCTCCCACACTGCTGACAAAAACTCAACTAAATCAGAGAAACTCTAAAAACCTCTACAAGCCCCAAACCTGTCCTTTCTCCTATTGCACAATACAATGCAGAAATTCTCACACTGAAAAACCCCCAAACACAAAGAGCAGGACACATAAGTGGGGTTTTTTTTTTTTCTCCTATCCAGACAGAAAGAACACTCAAGTCTTGCACGTGCTGCAGAAGACAAATTGCATCAAGAGACTGATTTATAGGTTTGAACGGAGAGGCAGAGCCGGAGCAGCACAGCTGGGAGCAGCACTGCTGCTCTGAACGGCTGGACGAAGCAGAGGGACATAAAAACGCAGCAATGGGACGTTATAAAAGCAACGAAGCGTGGAAGAGAAGAATCTCTGCTCATATATGTCCTTGGGTATCCTTGGAAAAAAGGATGGTCCTTGGGAAGGGTGTGGAGAAACCAGTGGATGTCGGGGGTAACAGATGAAACC